CGCACGCACGCACGCACGCACACACGCACACGCGCGCACACACACACACACACACACACACACACACACACGTGCGGGCGCACACACACATGCGGGCGCACACACACACGCACGCACACACACATACAAACACGAGGGTGCATGCACGTACCTGGCCGGCCACCCTGTGGAAGCGCGTGAGCTGCTCGTTCACAAAGTGGGGCAGCAGGTTGCGCTTGAAGCAGTCCACTGCGGTGGGATGGTGCCGCAGCGGTTTGTGAGGTGGTTGGAGAGGTGCGGTCGGGGCAGAGGTTGTCAGCAGGGTGTGCGTGCAGCTTCCAGCTGCAGCATCAGCTGCACGGTTCTGGCGCCGAACTAGCGGCAGCCTGCAGCCTCCATCACTGCAGTTGCTCTGGGAGTGCAGCAGTGCCTGCAGATGACCTATTCTCGCTCTAGCACCCTGCTTCACCCTCCCAAGACGAGGGGCTTCAGAAGCCAGTTGCCACCAGATCAGCCGCCCCCTCACAGCACGCCTGCGTTCGGGCTATCGAATGACCAAGTCCAGCCCAAGACTCACGGTAGATCAGCCGCTCCCTCATGAGGACGCCGTGCTCCCAGACCTGCAGGCTCTGCCCGCGCTTCAGCTGCGCCACCAGCCCCGCCAGCGCCTGCGGTCAAGGACGTGACGGCAACCTTCTGGCGCTGCCAAACACCAAGCAGCGCGGGCCATCGTAACGACGCAATCCCAGTGGGTTATGACATGATAGATTGCACTGTGAAGTTCACAAACCATCCACCCACCTGCAGGCCGTGGTGCGAGGCCTGGATGACCGCGGCGTCGGAGGGCACCGTGAGGCACATCGTCTTGAGGTAGTGCTGCGGCAAGGAAATTGAATTGATTGCAATTTTTGCGGCAGGTTGGTCCAATTGTTGGGAGCAGCGCAAGGACGGCAAGAATGTGGGATCGCGCATGGGCACGGCCGCGCGGCCCGCAGTCAGCTGAGAGAGGTGACGGGGGCTGCGCGTGAGTTGGCAGCAAGGGCCCATCGTTATCTGTGTGGTTGCATTTGCCAGTGCGAGTGCATGCCCACACTGGAACCACAGCCGCACTTGTCTGCATACCACTCAAACACAAGTTCAGCACGCTTGAGAGGACACACGGATACTTGCGCACGCACAAATAAGGCTCAACACAAAAGTACGCTTTGCAAGTTCACTCTGCCAAAAGCGCTTGCCTGCGTTGCCTCCCGCACAGACACCCCCTTCCTCCGACACACGAACCCATCGACCCAGCCATCCACCCCCATTATGTAAGCCCCCAACCCAAAGCAAAACCCAACCCACCTGAAACAGGTCCAGCAGCGCCCCCAGCTCCCCAGGCGTCGGCTCGGGGCCGCCCACCTCTGGCCGCGCCGCGCAGGTGTTGGGGGTGGATGCGGCCGCGACCCGCAGCTCGTAGGCAAACACCGTCTCCACCTGGCGGTTCGTTCGCATTGCGATGACGTCAGCATGTGCAGCGACGTCGTCGTTCGCAGAGGCGGTGGCAGGCGGTCGGGCGGCAGGGCCTGGAGCGGCGCTGCAGGGCCAAGCGATTACATCAGAGCGGCGGCTCGCACGCGACAGGGAGGCGCTTGTAGCGTCGGCACGCCGCATGCATGGTCCGATGTGAGGATCCTCATGAGACAGGCGACAGCGCGCGAGCAGCCCACCCACCTGAGGGTCTGCCCATGTGAAGTCCCAGTCGTGGGTCTACAGGGGGGGCAGCGGGGGGCGGGGCATGGCAGATGGGGAGAGCGGTGGGAAGTAAAGCTTGCATCTGATGCAGGGGAGTAAATCTGAGTTCCAGGCTTCGACGGGGGACAGGATAAGGCACAGCGGGCTGAAAATTTGGCCGCCTGGGTCTGCTGGCCTGCCTGCGTGCATCCCGTCGGGCGCCGAAAGGCGGGCGGCCGCGGCGCAGGGCCGGAGCCCGCTGCTGGCGCCGAGCATGACCCTACAATTCGCACATCCCATGCAGTATCGACGCCGGCTGATATGGATGTGTCGTACTTTCATGTGATATGATCTGGTGTGACGGTCTGACCAGGGTGCACTGCACCCCACCAACCTGGAAGTAGCGCCAGAGCCCCGCAAAGCACTCCCCTGTTGCGACAGAGTCTGCGCCCTCACTGGTGGTGTTGGCCTTTGAGTGTGGGGGGGTTGATGGTTTGTGTGTGTGTTCGTGTGCATTTTGTTGGTCGGGAGGGGCAAATTGTTCAGTCGAGTTGTGAGCTTGCTCCTAGTGGAGGGAAGAATTGTTGTATGCAGCGGGTTGACCAAGGCATCAAGCTGTGACCCCTGGCCAGCCGTCTGGCCCGCACCTTGCGCAGCGCGATCAGCAGCCAGCGCCACAGCGGCAGGAACCGCTCCCGCACGGCGTCGGGGGTGGTGATGTACGCACGGCGCGTGAGCTGTGTGTAGGGCACTGAGCAGAAGGTGCTCTGGTTGGGGCTGTCGTGCTGCGTGTCCCACTGGATAGTAAGCGCCACCTGGCGGTGTTACGACCGAGTGAAAGGAAGAATCAGGGAGTGTGCGGGCGCAGGTATTGATTTAAAAAGAATCCTAGGTTTGGCCCTTAGGTCTGGCACCTAGGAACCTCCCCGCCGCACCAATGCCACCCTTGCCGCTGCATCCTAGTGCCCGGTCGCCCGCAGCGCGCTGTCCTTGGCTTGCCTCCTCCCCCAGCCTGCACACCCTGAGTCGTGACAGCCGTGCACCCGCAGCATTCACATGCCTGTTCAACACAAAAAAACCCTTGTATGCCTGATGAGACCAAACAAAAAAAACAACACGACCAACATCGATCAAACCATTCCTGTGAAACGCACCTGCGTCACATTGGGCTGGGCCCTCATCTTGATGATGACCTGCTTGAGATCATGCGCGACCTCCGCCTCCGCGTGCCAGCTGATGTCGTCGGTGCCCTGGCACACCTGATTTGACCGGGGTTTGACCAGGGTTTGACCAGGGGTCTGTCGTCAAGGGGAACTGGCTGGGATTCAATCAGGAGTTTGACCAGGGGATGAGCAAATGCACTGGCGAGTACACACTGACAGCAGCAGCGCGCCAGCCTCGCCAGCCGGCGGCATGCACTTTGAGGGTCGGGTTGAAGGGGCGTCGGCAAGATGCTGGAATGCAGCATGCCAGTCGGAGCGCCCAGTAGGAGAAGACATACAGAGGCCCTAGCCGCCACGGAGCGGCCCCCACACACATGCGCGCACCTGCTCCCGGCACGTCGCCACCCCGCCGCCGTCCATGGGCCAAGTCCCGCTGTCCATCGCCACGGCCTTGAGCGGCGCCAGCGGCAGCGCGCCGCCGCCGCCGGTGCTGGGGGCCGCGGCGGCTGCCAACGGGTTGTAGTAGCTGCGCAGCGCGGGTGGCGGAGTTGGCAGGGGAGGTTGCAGGGGTAGGGGATGGGGGCGTGCTTGGGTGTGGTCGTTTGCAGCAAAAGGTGAGGTCCGCAGAGCCTAGGCAGAGCCCGGGCCGCGCCTCTGTGGCGGCATGGGAGCGTATTCAGGTTCAGCTTGGCGGGCATGGATGCGCATCTGCCTGCATGCGCCACACGCCACAAACAATGCACACTGCAAGCAGAGCCCAAACGTTGTGAATCAATTGAACAATAACATAACCTAACAGATTGCATCCAGTTGCGTGGTCGTGTGTGCATGATGCAAGCCTTGCCTTGCTGTATGGGAATGTCACAAGGTGACCTCAAGCTGCCCTGCCCAACTTTGGGGTATATTCAAAAAAAAGCTCACATAACCATACATTATGTAAATGTATTGTAGAACCCACCTGTAGCTGTTTCCCGGGACGTAGTTGGCCGCCGCCAGGGTGTCCAACGAGTGAGCCATGTGGCTGTGGTGGGTGGGCGTGTTGGAGAGGATGGCCGACCCAATGGCGAACTGCAGGGCGCATCGTTTTGTAGGGGAGCGAGGGGGTGGTGAGGTGAGGGGTCGAGGATGGATTGGCGGTGTGTGCTTGTGATCCGCGGCGCGCTCGTCGGCTGTCGAGCCTCGTGCCTCCAGCACAGCGGGGCCGCAGAACGGCAGCCCCCAGATACTGACAAACGCCGCTCGTTGCCAGGGAGCTACCGCCTTGTCACGCCCGCGCACTTCGCTGTTCAAGATCTAAACCTGTGCATATCCCCACACACCTGGACTAGCGTTACGTCCCTCGTCAGCATCGCCCTGCAGCCGGCGCCGTCGAGCGCGTCGTACGCCAGCCAGTAGCTTCCGAGCAGCTTCTCGCGCCTCAGGATCGCCTCCTCGACCGCCGTGGTGAGCAGCCCGTCCAGCACAGGCCCGTGCGGCGGCCGCCGCGGCGGCGGCGCCGCCGCCGCCTTTTTCGGTTGGGCATCGGCCGCAGCGGCGGAGCCGCCGCCGCCGCCGCGGATGGCACACCACGCGCGCAACAGCGCCGCGGCGAGCGCGGGCGCGAGCGCGGCGCCGCGACGCGGGGCGGCGG